CAAACTTTGCCCTCTGGCTTTGCAGAGTGGTTCATGGGTCAAGCTGGAGGGAAATTCTGAGGTGAAGTAAATGGACCAAATCAGAACCACCCCCTGGACATTGAACTCAACCTTGGCTCTGGAACTGGCATTTGAAGGCGGAGGTGTGGGTGGCAAGAATTGGAAAAGGCTGCTGGACCACTGGCTGCTAGGTTTCGAGCCGGAAAGCCTGATAAGCATGGCTGAGGGTTGCTGGGAGACTATTTGGATGATTGTGGGGTTTTTTGTTTTTTTGTTTTTTGACTCTGGTTTTTCCTCTCCTAGCCTCTGCAGAGATGTGGTCAGCTGGTCAGGATGGCCGTCCGGTGCCAGCACAGTGAGGTGGCCCAGACCCACACTGGAGAAGCAGCCAGGGGCTGGACAGGCCAGGAGAGTCTGTCAGACAGTGACCCTGAGATGTGGAAGCTGCTGCAGAGGGAGAAGGACAGGCAGTGTCGTGGCCTGGAGCTCATTGCCTCAGAGGTGGGGCTTGGGGAGAGGGACCACGGCATGGGCCACAATGGGCGCAGGAAGTAATAGGTCATCATACTGCTCTTTCTCCAGATTTCCCTTTCAGATTCAAGGCCTTCCTGCTGGGCCTTATCTCCTCCTCTTCTTACTGTCCTCTGAAGAGAAGGCAGGGCCAGCCTGGATTAGGGGTTGGGGACATTAGCCTTCAGAACTGTCCAGGGCCCCTGCAATCTAGTGTGGTCCCTTCCCCTTCCCAAGAGGGAAGAGGAACCTGGAAGTACAGGTTCGAGTGGACAGGTGGCCTTGCAGGGGACATCCATCCCAGCAGCCAGGTTTCTCAGAATGCTTTCTTCAGGCCAGACAAGGAACGCTGAATGAAAAAACAGAGCTTTCTCTAGAACCCAGCTCCCTCCCTGCGGCCTGGGGCTCTAGCAGGGAAGGGCTGCGGGGGGCTCCAGGGAAAGGGGCTTAGTACCTTCTGACATTAACTCCCCCAATCCCCCCCCACCCCAGAACTTCTGCAGCCGAGCTGCGCTGGAGGCCTTGGGGTCCTGTCTCAGCAACAAGTACTCGGAGGGTTATCCTGGCAAGAGGTGAGGGCTGGCGCCAGAGGGATGAAGGCAGCCTCAGGGATGGTGCTCCCTGTGGGGGACACCTGCCTGTACCCTCCCAGTGTGTGTAGAGGAGCGGCCTTCCCAGCCCTTTGCCGCTGGTTGCAGGGGATACCAGGACCCTTTCTGTGTGCCCTGATACATCCCCATCTTGTGGCAGATACTATGGAGGAGCAGAGGTAGTGGATGAAATCGAGCTGCTGTGTCAGCGCCGAGCCTTGGAGGCCTTTGACCTGGATCCTGCGCAGTGGGGAGTCAATGTCCAGCCGTACTCAGGCTCTCCGGCTAATCTGGCCGCCTACACAGCCCTTCTGCAGCCTCATGACCGAATCATGGGGCTAGACTTGCCCGACGGGGGCCAGTGAGTATGGATGGGATGGGTGTTGGCTTTGGTGAGCATAGGGAAAGAGTTACTGAACATCTTCCATGTGTCCTGCCATGCACGTCAGTGGATGAGGACAAGAAGACCCCCGTCACCAGTGCTCAGCACAGAGTGGACCGAGCAGGGAGGGTCGTGCCTGCTTGGAGCAGCGTTCCAGGGACAGGGTCCTCTGGAGCTGGGCAGGCAGGGTGTGGTGAAGCCTGGGAGTTACTTGTCTCTGAAGCTCTCTGATCTCTCTCATCTGCTCCCAGTCTCACTCATGGCTACATGTCTGATGTCAAGCGGGTCTCAGCCACATCCATTTTCTTTGAGTCCATGCCCTATAAGCTAAATGTGAGTACTGGGCCCTGGTGGCCCTCTCCTGGGGTTGGGGAGGGGTGGGAGTCCTGGGCAGCCTCCAGGGTCAAGGAGAAGAGTGAGCTGCCCTGCTTCCTTCTCAGGGCTTCAGCTTTTCGTTTGTCCATGCAGCCTAAAACTGGCCTTATCGACTATGACCAGCTGGCACTGACGGCCCGACTTTTCCGCCCGCGGCTCATCATAGCTGGTACCAGTGCGTACGCACGCCTCATCGACTACGCCCGAATGAGAGAGGTTGGCGCAGGGCTGGAATGCTGGCCACATCCCAGGGAGGCAGTGGGGAGCTTCTGGAAGGGGGGCCACCTAGGGGAGGCCTGTGTGGGCCCTCCCCAGGCTGAGGCTTGTCTCTGTACCTGCCCAGGTGTGTGATGAGGTCAAGGCGCACCTACTGGCAGACATGGCCCACATCAGTGGCCTGGTGGCAGCCAAGGTGATCCCCTCACCTTTCGAGCATGCGGATGTTGTCACCACCACCACTCACAAGACCCTGCGAGGAGCCAGGTCAGACTTCCTTGAGGTCAGGCCTCGTCTTTCCCTGCCTTCACGCCCTTTTCCCGGGGCATGGCTGGGCTGCATCCCAAAGAGGTTCATTCCCACCTAAAGCCCCAGAGACTCCTCAGTGTGTAATGACTCTCCTTGTCTTGCCCATAGTGGCGGTTCCCTGCTGGGGGATTTGGGAGTGGGCCCGAAGGACTGCTCTCCTTGACCACTGGGCTCAGCTGCACACCAGCTCAGCTGAGGTAGACTCTGAGAGCACAGGGCGCCCAGGCCAGCCAGCTTCCTCTGCTTTCCCCACCCCTTGTCCTTTCTTCTCAGCTTCGATTCTGATCACCCACTTCCCACATAGGTCAGGACTCATTTTCTACCGGAAGGGGACGCGGGCTGTGGATCCCAAGACTGGCCGGGAGATCCCTTACACATTTGAGGACCGAATCAACTTTGCTGTGTTCCCATCCCTGCAGGGAGGGCCCCACAACCATGCCATTGCTGCAGTGGCTGTGGCCCTAAAGCAGGTTGGGGAGCTGACTCTTGGGGGGAGGGCATTGGGCCTGGGGCCTTAGACCCTGCTCCATGCTGAGGGAATCGGAGCTGAGAGCAGGGAAGTGCCCAGGTGGGGTCGAGAATGGAGTCACAACTGTGCTGAAGGGGGCAGGGCAGAGGGGTGGGGCTTGGGGTTCCAGCTGTTCCTGTCTTATCCTGCAGGCCTGCACCCCCATGTTCCGGGAGTATGCCCTGCAGGTCCTGAAGAATGCTCGGGCCATGGCTGATGCCCTGCTAGAGCGAGGCTACTCGCTCGTGTCTGGTGAGCCAGCGGGTGGGTGAGAGCCTCTGCATCCTCAGACAGAGGCCTAGAACTCACCTCCCCCTGCCGACCGTCCCTCCCCTCAGGTGGCACCGACAACCACCTGGTGCTCGTGGATCTGCGGCCCAAGGGCCTGGATGGAGCTCGGGCTGAGCGGGTGCTGGAACTGGTCTCCATCACAGCCAACAAGAACACCTGTCCTGGAGACCGAAGTGCCATCACACCTGGGGGCCTGCGGCTCGGTGAGACCTGGGCTTTGAGGGAGGAAGGATGGCTACCAGGTGGGCTTGCACCGTGCTAACCCTCTTCTCTGTCTCTCCCAGGGGCCCCAGCCTTGACCTCTCGACAGTTCCGCGAGGATGACTTTCGGAGAGTTGTGGACTTCATAGATGAAGGTGTCAGCATTGGCTTGGAGGTGAAGGGCAAGACTGGTGAGTGGGCACGACCCTGGCCGAGCCAGCCTTTTGCTATCCGTCCCTCCCGCTGGCTGTTCGAACTGGCTTTCTCTGGAGTTCTGACCGATTTTTTCCTTATCCCCCCTCTAGCCAAACTCCAGGATTTCAAATCCTTCCTGCTCAAGGACCCAGAAACAAGTCATCGGCTGGCTGACCTCAGGCAACGAGTGGAGCAGTTTGCCAGGGCCTTCCCCATGCCTGGTTTTGATGAGCGCTGAGGGCCCTTAGGAAATGAGGTGCCCACAGACTGCAGTTTATTGTCCTGCCTACTGGGACCAATGGAGAGGAGCACGACTATCTTTCCATTTTTTGCTGGAGGAGGGAAGGGCTCTTATTTAGGGAAAGACCCAGCTATACTCTGAACTTTGTAGCTGAGAAGATTTCTTTTTGCAACTAAACTTAGAAGGAGGAGGCCTGGGGCTTTTTGCCCTGAGCTCTCCCATTATCTCAGTGTTACAGACTCCTTGCTTTTACTTGAAGAGAGGCCAGTTGCCCTTGTGAGCCAGAGGAAAGGGTGGGTAGGCACCCATCTTTCTGTTTTTATCTAATAAAATGCTAACCTGCCTTGATCTGTCCTTTTACTGTGGGAGGGGGGTCCCTTGGGCCGGTGGTGACTTGTCTCCCTCCACGTGTTCCTCCCTTCCCTCCCACCACCACAAGGACCGTCCCCCCCACCCCCCACTGCAGCCTCCTTTTTCTGTCTCTGATCAGAGCCGACACCAGACGTGATTAGCAGGCGCAGCAAATTCAATTTGTTAAATGAAATTGTATTTTGCCCACGGCTGCTTCTGTTTGATCCCAGGAGACTGAGGGGAGCAAGGGAGGGGCAGGATGGCAGGGGGAGGCCCAGGTGCAAGGCTGCGGGGAGGGGATGCCTGTTGGCTGGGGAAGCAGTGGGCTTAGGCATGGGGAGGAGCTTTCGCTGCGCTTCCCCAGGCGAAGGTGCCTCATCCAGGGCAGGCTGGGCGGCAGGGGACGAGCCCAGCCGAGCCAGAGCAGCACCGCCCCTGCACTGGCGCCCAGAGCCTGGGCTAACGTGGGGCCCGCCACGTCACTTGGCACCGAGAGGCCCTCGCTTGCTCTTGGCTCACGTTGGCCACGATCAACACGTAGCCTGAGCCACACCCTGCAAGGCACGGGTAGGGGGGCAGAGGGGCTGGTTGGAGCTTTTTGGGTCAACACATGGCCCGCCCTCCTAACTCCTCCCCCCGCGTGGGACTCCAGCAGAGGGTCAGAGTCTCCAGCGGAGGGTCAGAAGCGCTTCCGCTGAGGGAGCAAGGGAAGGGGGTGGCGAGCCGTCTCCCCTCCTGTGGGAACCAAGCCTGTGTAAGCAGCAGCTGGACAGGGTGGCTAGAGTGGTGCCCTGGGGGCAGGGGGCAGAGAGTGGAAGAAATGAGTTGGCTGGCTGATGGTGGTTTACTTCTCACAGGCACCCCAGCCAACTTAGAAGTCTGGCCGGTCCTTCTTCAGCTTCTTATAGTCAGTGGAAACTGCAAGAAACTATAGGAGGGAAAGGGGCACTGAGTGCCCCAGACATCCCTTCGTGGCCTGGGGGTAGGGAGGGTGGTCCTGGGACCAAGAGGAACAGATGGAGGAGGTACCTTGTATTGGTCATTGGGGCTCAGGCGGTTCCAGGGCTCTGGGTTGTTCTTTCTGTCCCAGCTACAGAGAAGGAGGGGAAGGTGAGGGTTTCCTCTCTGAAAGCTAGGACCCAGGAGCCTAAAGTGACAGAGTCTCTGCCCCACCCCCAACACCCCCGTCCTATCCTGGGGGGGAGGGGGCTACTTCCCAGAGACTGACAGGGGTAGTGACAAGTGAAACAGGAAGGCTCGGGCCAGGTGAGAGACTGACAACTCAGCCCAGGGCCTCCCACCTGTTCCTTGCCGCTCTAGGTTCACCCCCCAGAGCAGAGCGTTGGGAATGAGAACCTGAGGGGCTGGGGTTTCGTGATGCGCCTGCAATTCTACCCCTGAGGTGCTCATGGCGCTGGCTGGAGAGCCCCTATGGCCCACCCCCACCGACCTCGGTGGGGCTGGGACTCTCCGCTCCCCTCTAGCCCCAAAGGCTCCCCCAGCAGTTCACCCGGCCACAGCCCCAGCACTCAGGTGGGGAGGTGGAAGTACCCAAAGGCTGCCCGCCGGCTGAGCACGTCGCCATGACAACCGGGCCGGGAGCGGTGCGGGTTCCGCAGCCCGAAGCGGGTCGAGTCTGGGGCCCCAGGAGCGAGTGGTCGTCCGGACGGATGCGAGGGCAGGCCGGGGCCGCCTGGGGGCAGGAGCAGGCTCCAGCCTGGAGTTGCCGCGCGGCGCACAAGCAGATGCGCCGCCTGGGGATCCCTGATGAGACCACCCACTGGCACCGTTCCTGAGAGGCCCTAGCGTTCCTGCCCTACCCTTGCTTCACCCAGGCCCCCTGCTTGCGTCCCAGACCCGGCCTTTACCAGACGTCCGGGCTGCGCAGGGCGAGTCTCAGGAGGTACAGCGCGGCGCTGCCCATTCCCAGGCCAATGAAGCCGATCATCGGGATGAGCTGCGGGGAAGACGGAGGGCATTTTAGGGGTCAGCCCCCTCCCCGCAGTCCCTTTACAATCTTCTCTGCCAGCATCCGCCCCCGCCCCCACCCCAGCCCGGGTCTGGCACTCCCTCCTGTCTGGGAGAGAGGACCTGGAATCTCCCACACCACATCTCCAGCCTTCGCCTCCCTCGTCCCACAGCGAGTGGGTCCCAGGTGGATTCAAGAGACACGGGGCATATTGCAGAGATAGACTGAGGGCACGCTGGAGAACGACCAGCAGCACTGGGGGACTGGGCAAGGGGCAAGGGTACTGGGGATTTAGGGGCCGCCAGGGAAGCGAGAGAGTTAGGAGTTAGTACAGCGGCTCTGGGGACCGAACTCACCGCGGGATGTCTCTTGATCTGCCGGTAGAAGCGGGCCCCGGGATTCGTTCCCGCCATAGCGCCTCTCCACCGTCTGATGCTCCCCAGCGGTTCTGCTCCCTCGCTCTTCCTGGGGTCCCGCCCCCGACTGGGGAGGGGTCAGCCCAGCCCAGCCCAGCCCGGCCCAGCGGGCCCGCTTCAGTAGACTAACCCCACCCCCACTCATCTCTTCCTCCCGCAGTTCCCAGTTCAGAGCCCGAGAAGTGTCAGGAAGCAGAGGGCTTTCTGATCCGGCACTCCTCCCAATGGCCGCACCCTGGTCTGGGGGACACCATCACACCTGGGGCTTTGAACTGGTTTCAGAGAGAGGCAACACAGGCTTTGAGCAAGAGACTGATTGAGGGAGGATCCAGAGGTGGAAGGAGGAACTCACCATGGGACAGGCAGTCGGACAGAGAGACTTGCAAGCCAAGTGCAGGGGTAGTGTTCACGGGTGAGACCTGGAGGGTCCTGGGGACCAGTGATGGCATCGGAAGCACTTCCTGGACAGCTCTAGAGCTCACAGATAAGGCCCCAGTTCTGTCTCCCTACACAGTGTAGTGGGAGGAGGAGAGGGACAGAGAGACCCACAGCACTAAAGCAGCCCCAGCTCCTCTAGTCCTGGGTAGTGCTCCAAGTCGTGTTGTGGTTGGCTTGGAATAGTTTAGAGGTCAGGGGAGCCGGGTGTATTTTAAACCTGGTTCAGGATAGAGTTAAGTCAGTTGTCGAAGTTTGAGGCTTTGATAGACTTGCTTGCTCTGCCTACGTCCAGTCCCCTCCAGATAAAGTTGGAGCCCCCTAAGGAGGCTGTTTCTGACTGTGATGGAGAGGAAGAGAATGGGGTAAGGAAAATAGCCAAGGAAAGACAGAAAAGATGGTGAAGGAGGAAAGAGAACAACACATACAGAGATACATGTTCAGAGCAATTGCCTTCCTTTCTGCAGCCAATTTAGGTGTCTGCTGTGCTGCTAGGGTGGGAAAGCTCACTGCCATCGTCTTTGGGTAGTTGGGGGCCTAGGCACCCAGGAGCCTAGTCCTAACCACCTCTCCCCGCTGCCATGCTAACTTCACCCTCCCATCCTCCTCCCTCCCACCCCACGGGCAAATCCACCTCTCCAGCCCAGAGCCCGGTGGTGGTGCACCCACCACTGGGCTTGCGCGGTGATGGTGGTGGTGGGGGCCGTACAGGGAAGGAAGCTACCCTTCTGGGGGCCCCCTCCCTTTCCTGGCGCTGATACCTCCCCCGCCCCTGCGCTGACAAACGCGGCTGTAATTAGGCTGCGGGGTCCCAGGCTTTCCGCCTCCCTCCGGCGGATAATGAGATAAAGTGTCAGAGACACGGCGAGAACAAAGAGACAGAGACTCGCTGCGATGTGTGTCGGGGTGGCGGGGGGGGGGGCGGAGAAGGGGGGACTGACAGGATGTCAGAACCTGGAGCGCAGAGCCGGGTCCTCCCTGAACACCCGCACCTCCAGGACCCGCCGGGGAGTGGAATGTTCTGTCACTCATGTCCCCCAGCCCTCCAGTCTCCGGGACTAGCAATCAATCCCAGAGCTCGAGCTCCAGGGGCTGCACATCTGGGCTGCACATCTGGTTCTGCATGGCACAGCTGGGGCGCCAGGACGCAGACAGGGACGTCTGGCCCCCGTGCCGCGCCCCTTGGCTTCTCGGGCCCTCGCCCGGGCTCTTGTACTATTTCTTGTGACTTCTGGTGACCAAGGACTGGCGCGTTCCGAACTTTCCGCCCCGCTCCTTTCCTAGAGCCGCGGTTGTTCCTCCTGCCTCGGGCCTCCGCCCCCACTTTCCAAGCGCCTTATTACGTTATTGCTTCTGTTCTGGCCTCTCCGGGGGGCCTTGACCCTGCACCTATTTCTGGTGCCAGTCTCTGATCCCTTGCCTGAGATCCTACTTCTAAGTCCCCACCCATCTCTGGATCGTGATCTCTGGGGCTGAGCTGGGACGCAGACCTCCGTGAGTTCCGGATCCCATCTCTCCCCACCCTCGCGCACTCTCCCATCAGAAAGACTAAGGCCACCCGACCAAGCCGCGTGAGGGACGGCAGAATTCATTTGCTGCGGATTAGGGGTGGCCTGGGGCGTGCGGCGTCCCGTGGGGACCAGATTCCAAACGCCAAATCTCACCACGACACTAATCCTCGCGCTGGCGCCGCTCGTCAAAAGCAGCTGGACTGGGCGGAGCGAGCTGGCGGCTGGGGTTGTGGGCGCGGGCGCCCCCTGGAAGTTAAGATGTTCCCAAGCTCTTAGGGGAGATGCCTCGGGCGCCCCCTGTCGGGTCCTGCAGGCTCTGCGCCCCACAGTTTGGGGCAGGTTAAGTCTGTGCCTGTAGCGTCGGTCCAAGTCCCGCCTGCCTCTCCTGCCACTCCCACCGCCAAGGCACTGGGTCCCGCAGCTTCCCCTCTTCTGGTTTGAGGTGGGGCGGGGGGGGGGCTAGAAAGGAGAGGGCACGAGGGATCTCCCACCTCGCCAGCTGTGGGAGGAACCAGAGGTTCAGGCGGGTTCCTCTCTCGGGGCTGGTGGGCTCCAGACGCCCGGGGCTGGGTCTCTGCCCTAAGACTGCCCACTGCCCTCTGCCCCTGACTGCCCCAGTCTCTGGCTGCCCTTCTTTCTGCTTCTTTCTTCTTCCAGCCCTTTCTGTCTACCTCTGTCTCTCTGTGTCTCTGTGTATGTCTGTGTCTCTCTGTTCCTTATCATTCTGGTTGTGTCTGTCTGTCTCTCCCTCTGCAGCTCTACCAGGCTTTGTCCCTCTGTATCTGGTTCTGTGTCTCTCTATGTTTATCTCTCCTTCCGTCTACATCTCTCTACCCTCTGTGTCTCTCTTTACAAATGCCTGTCTCTGTCTTTATCTCTTTCTCCCCCCCTCCCATCCGCCATTCTATTCCTATTCTCCAGCTTGCTGCCCCTGGGGGGCTGCAGCAGTCCAACGAGACAGCCTGGAGACACCTCAAGGCACTGCCCGGGGTCTACTTCCCGGTCACCTCCACATGCCCGTCACCTCGGTGTGGACTCCGTCTTCCCCCTGCAGCTGTGGGGCAGGGAGGGGGCGCCCGGGAGGGAAGACATGGTGCCCAGCATCTGCTCAGGAGCCCCGGAGCCCCTGACCCCCTCTGCAGCTATTAAGGGCGCCGGGTCCCGAGGCTCTGAGAGATGATCATGATTGCATCAGCCAGACAGCCGTGGAGCTGGGAGCCGCGCGGCGAGCGAACGAGCGAGACAAAGACGCCCGAGCCATCTGTTTATGCAAAGCACTCTCCGCCGGGGACCCCGGAGTCCCGGTGCCTCGCCCGGCTCGGGGCACCGGGTTCATGAGCCCGCTCCTGCCCGGCGCCCCTGCTGCGCCGCGGCTCCCCCCTTCCCAGCACCCAGAGGGGCTGTGGGGCGAACGGAACGGAGGGGGGCGGGGGTTGTTGATGTGATTGGAGCGGACGCGACTGTTTCTTCAATAATGGATGGAGATGATGCGGACGGCGGAGCCAAGCCCTCCCGGAGAGGAGAGAGGAATAGAAATGGGGAGAGGAAGGGGCGGGTGCGGGAGACTCACCCAGGCGCTCCCGCGCGCGCACGCACACACACACACACACACACACACACGAGTGCGCGTGTGCGTCACACTGTCATTCGAATACACGCTGTCGCGCGGCTCACACCCAGGCACACGCCTCCGCACTGTCACGGAGATACATACACCTGCAGGCAGAGACGCCAGAGCAACACACACTCACAGGGGTGGCTCTTCCTGATACATAGGCAGTCCTGCAGGCAGAGACACGCGGAAATGCCCACACTCGGGGCACACCCAAGTGTGAAGATCGCACACATAGACACGCCAAAGCACGTATGCACACCTAGACACTCAGGGACTAAGCCAGACAAAAATTATAGAGGTTGGGGGGGATAGAGAATGTGGACAAGTCCGACCAATACATACTTAAGGGCACAGACACACACCAGGGTCACACATACCAACTTACACTCACATCTTGTGCTGATATACACACCTCACACACTTGGGGCACAAGCACACACACCAGCGGCACAGACACCCATAATCTCCAGGGACACAGAGGGACCCCCACCAACCCCTACACATTCAGAGGTTCACACCCACGCAGGAACTGCTGTCTGTGCCCTCCCGTGGTAGAGTGTGGCAGAGGTTGCTGGGGTCCTAGAAGCAGGCCTATTAGCCTACCCACATAATGAGGTAGTAGTGACAGGAGGTGCCTGGGGCTGTGGACCCTGCTACCCTGCTTGACAGCCTGCTAGCTTCCTTCCTTGGCGCCCAGGGTGGGTGGTACAGACCTAGGGCCTCTCAGACAGCAGCCAAGCCAGCTGGTCCCAGCCCCAGCACTTGGGGAGGGTTAGGGAGCCACCGAGGGACATTGGTGGCTGCATAGGGACTGCCAGGATTACCCACACAGCTGGGAGGCAGATGTGGAAGGGACGATCACTCTGTATTTCCCGTCATTCCCGCGTGCTACCCAATCTCCCCACTTGTAAGGGGGTACGTTCTTTGCTAAGAGCGGAGTGGGCACTGCAGAGGGGTAGGGTGTGGATTGTGTCCTGGACCAGAGTAACCTGGCCCCTCCTCCAGTCTGTTTTCAATTCAGTCCATTCCTTGGCCCAGACTTATGACCTTTGCTGCCTGTGGCAACATCATCCATCACCTAGGCGGCGTTTGTGGGAGTGAGGGGCGTTGGGGGCTCACACAGGGTCGCTGTCGCTCCTGCCTCCTTCATGAGTCCTGCTCTCCAGTGGCAGGCCTGGGCTCAACCAGCGGGCAAGTGTTGGGGGGAGGGCGTTGATCATGGGGCTCAATCGCGATACTGGGCCGGTGTCCTCACCCCTAGCACCCCAAGCCCCCGTCCTCCGAGCTCCGCGCAGCCGGCCTCCCTGCTCCTCCCGCCCTCCCTCTCTCGGGCCCTTTGCTTAATTTCCTATTAACTGCTGATAAATCCAATTAAACCGCCGCTCTAATTAGGGACAGCTGCCGGCTCCGCGAGGCGGGGAAGGGGGGTGCCCCCCCGAGTGTAGAGCGGGGAGAACAGCAGCTCTCTCTGCTTCTCGGCACCCCCACACCAGCATCACCGCCCAATGAGCCAGTAAATTGGTTTTGCTTCTGCATTGTGGGGGGGCCCTCTCGAGGATCTCAGTTTTGAGTCCCTCGGATCTCTTGATGAAGAGATGCGACCGGAGTCCTAGCATCCCCGCACTGGGCCTCCGACCCCCCACCCCCACCACGCCTTTCTTGGTAGGCGGATCCCGAGGAGGGATGGGGGCAAAAGGCTGTATTTGTGTGTGGTGGTGGAGGGGGGCTGCTTGTGATCTGCTCCTATTCCAGCCGAAGCGTGATTACAGGGGGGCTGCCTGAGTTTTCCTCTATGACCCTGCCGCCGGCCCCAGGCGTCCGGCAAGACAGTCAAGGGCAAAGGGAACAGGAAACCGAACCCGGTTCCGCATAGAGTTCTTCTGTGTGCTTCCCTACCCCCTCCACACCTCAGCCTTCTGGAAGGAAGAGGGGCGCGTCCGTCCCGGGCCCTTCTCTTCTCCAGCCCAGCTGAGCCTCTGCCCTCCCCCTGCCAGCAGCAGATGGTGCCCGGGCTCCCGCTGCCAACCTTGCTAGGCGGTGCCAACCTCAGGCCTGGCAGACAACGGGCAGAAGAGGATCTCCTGACTGCCGAGGCTGACCCTCCCCCATCCGCCATCAAGCTCCAGACCCTCGGCCTGCCCTACTCCAGGGACCACCCCAGGCTGCCTCTCACTGGTCCGCTCCCAGGTCCCCAAACTCCTCGTATCCTTCAGCTCCCTTCCCCACACCTTCCCGCTCCCCGCCACCTGCCACCCTGACCGGGGCCGGCGCATTTGCATATTTGCATATGCAAACAATAACATTTGCATACGGCGCGCCGCAGGGGGGTCTCCGCGTGAGCCGGTTTGCTGTCTGCCCGGCGCCCTCTCACTCGTTACCTGTCGCAAAGGGCTGGGGCGGGGGCCGCGCGGGAGGGGTTAGGCCCCCCGGCCTCGCTCTTTCGGTTCCCAGAGGACTTGAGGAAGTGTTGCCATGGAGACGGCACGCACCCCACCCCCTCCCAGGCCCAGGGTCTCCGGCACAGTGTCTCAGGTTCTCTCCTTCCGTCCCCCCCCCCCCGCCTTCTCCCGCCCCGTCCCTCGCTCTCCAACGGAGATCTTGCATCGCCCCCTGGCGGCCTAGCTCGGCACTGAGCCAGGTTCTGAAACGCAAGGGGTCTGCCCGCGGCTAAATCGCCAAGAGCTAGGGGAAATACCCTGGTGCCAGGTCTTTCTAGCCGCCGCGGCGGGGGGGGTGGGGGGCAGTGACTCCAGTCAGGCTCCCCTTTCTTCAATGACAACAGAGGCCTCGCCTGGCGGACGCACCTGCCTCCCCATCTCCCACCGGACTCGGCCCAGGTGGATGTCCGGTTACCCGATAGTAGTGAGCTGACACAGCTGGGAAGGATTCTCCACGGCTTCCTATGCCCTCGACTCGGCCCCCAGTTAAAGAACAAACTTTTCTAACTTTTTTCAAAACTTTAATACAGTCGCAGCGTTCGACTGTTCTCCTCCCACACCCCCGGGGCGCCTCCTGGTGGAGACGCGTTCTTCTTCTTCCAGCTCTCAAGGGCTGGGCCTGAGGAGCTGCAGGTGAGGCGGCTCTGCCCGCCAGGTATCCAAAGCCCGAGGCTGGGGGAGGGGGGCAGGAACCAGTCCCTAACCCGAAGCCCCGTCTAGCTCCGGCGGGCTTTCCCTCCCCTCCCCCATCCAGCATAGTTGCTTTCTCCCCTTTCCTCCCCAACCTCCACTGGGCCTGCCCAGAATGGGGCCTGGGTATATCCCGTCCGCAGGAGCCGGCACGCCTAAATCTCCTCCAGGAAGTCGGTGGGAAACAGCCCCACCTTGCGGCCGGTGTAGACCTTGACGTAGCCGCCGGCTTCATCTCCTTTCTGGACCACGATCTGAACGAAGGATTAAAGGTTTAGGGAGGAGAGTGATCCAGGGAAAAGGTGGAAGAGGAGAGGAGGGGAGCCCGGATTTATGGAGACCTATCCTAGCCCCGTTAATGGCTTAAGATCTGCAAGGAGTATGGTTTGCCGAGGAACCTTGGGGCCTGGGGTTGGATTGGGGCACCAGAGCTACCTAGTCAGTTCTACCTACCTACCTACCTACCTACCTACCTATCATCTATCTATATTTATTTTATATTTTTAAAATATTTTATTTATTTATTTTAGAGAAAGAGGACGAGCAGGAGGGGCAGAGGGAGAGAGAGAAAGAATCTCAGGTGATTCCACCCTAAGCAGAGTCCACACAGGGCTCAATCTTCCCACCCTGAGATCACGACCTGAGCAGAAAGCTAGAGGTGGTTGCTGAACCCACTGTGCCACCCAGGAGCCCCTACCTGGTCCTTCTTGAGAGTGATCTGCCCAATTTCGCGGTTTCCCACGAAGGATCTGGTCACGCGGTGCACACGCTCTCCAGACCGGACCCGAATGATGAAGTTTGGAGGGAAAAATCCAACCTTCTCCCCTATTTTCCCCTAGAGGAGATGGTAGGGCGAGTCAGTCTCTCAGTCTCCGATTCTAAAGTCAAGCGATGTCCCACCCTAGCCTCAGCCATTTCTCTTACCCGCCACCACTCCTCATTGGAGTCATCAATGACTGTGATCTTCTCTCCAGGCCTGCGAGAGGAAGAGAGAGGCCTCTGAGATGTGGGGGGCTTACTTACCTATCTGGCCTGGGTCCAGCCCCAACAGGCTCCAAGACCTGAGTGCCCCCGCTTTCCTTTCCCATTGGAAGCTAGGCTCTCCCCCTCCACTCCCGGTGCATGCCCATCCCCGTCCTACGGCCTCTCACGGGAAATCCAGATCGTCCTTCTCCAGGGCTTTGAACCGATAAAGAGCCACAAAGTAATGAGACTGCTGGAAGCCAGGCTGCTTGTGCTGGGGGTGAAAGGAGGTGATGAGTCTCTGGGCTCCTCTGTCCCACACTGAGGGGCAGGAGTCCAGGGCAGGGGAATCCTCCAGACACACTACATTACAACTCTCTTCCAGGTCCCTGAACTATGAGGATTCTGTTGCGTGCATGCATGCACGCATGCGTGTGTGTGAGGTGGTGGAGAAGGCAGGTTAAGGGTGATGGGGACCCACGGAGTAAGTATGAGCTTCTGCTAAGGCCATGAGTGGTGTCAAACCTGGGTTGGGGAGAGGACTGGGGTCCCTGCAGGGAAAAGGAGTCTCACTTTGTCATCAGGTGTCTTCTTTTCGGCCTTCTTATTCCCTTCAGGGTTTCCTGGGATGGGAAACACCAACAAGTTGTCTCTAGCTACTGGAGGGTAGCCCCTCATTCTTTCCCTCTTCTGTTGCAGAGCCTCTTTGATCTCCAAACCAGGCATGCCCTTTGGCCATCCATCCTGTATCACAGCCAAGCCCCTGACCCTACTCCATCTCTAGGGATGGAGGTAGGTAACACTCACCATCCTGGGTTTTGCCTTCCTCTGGTCTGGCAGACTCTGGCTCTTCTTCCATCATGGCTGCTAGAGGCTAGAGGGGGTACCAGAGTTAGGAAGATGCTCTCTTGGGAACCCACGCTTGCCCTGACTCTCCAGCCAGGCCAGCCAATTACAGAATAATGGGATCTCAGGGTTGGAAGAACCCTTGGAGGAAACACCTAGTTCAACCACCAGCCTAATGCCTGAGCTTCCTGTAAAACATCTTGGTAGGTGGACCATCCACATTGTTCTTGAATGTAGCTAATGACAAGAGCTCACAACCTTACAAAGTAAGCCCATGCCATCTGAGGGTAATTCCATAAATTAAACCTATTCGGTCTCCCTGTAACTTTTAGTAATTGGTCCTGATTTGGCCTCTGGAGCAATATAGAACAAACATAGTCCCCTTGAAGATCTGAGGATAGCTGATAAGTCCTTTCTGTCTTTTCTTCCCTAATTAGTCCCTTCAAATCACCCCCTCCCCCATGATGCTGTTTCCAGAATTTTCACTATGTCCGTTCTTAAAAATACTCTAGTGTGTAAGAAAAAAAATGAGCAGCACAGTTTTTATAATTCCCTTAAGAGAATAGAACCTGAGTGTGCTTGCCTTTCTGGAAGCAGTCAAGTCACACTGCTAGGGCCTTGTAAATCATAGTTCATTCTACAGAAATCCCTAATTTGCACCCAACCTCCATATCAACTACTCTGAGGCCAATCCCTAGTTCTGTTTTTGTGCAGTTGATTTTTTTGATCCAAGAACAGGCATATACATTTTTCCTTACAAAATTTCAAATGACTGGTTTTGGGCTTTTCTTCTAGTCTGTAAGATATTTAAATACACTATTTCGTGTATAGGTTTTCCCTCCTAGGTTTCCCACAAACTTCAGGGATAATACCATTTATATTTTCATTTGTATCAGTGAGAAAAATCTCCATAGGTGAGGACCGAGGACCAAATCATGTTATAAGGTATCATAAATCTCTGTCTAGCTAGACACTCCCTAAAGGACCTGAATCCTTCGGGCACAGTCATTCATCCAATTTTAGGGCTCCATCTACCTGTTATCCACATCAGTCCCTCCCGGTTGTCCAGAAAGCTGTAACGATATGCTAACAAATTCTTTGCCAAACTGAATGCAAGTCTATGGCATTACCAATCTAGTAACCCTAATACAAAAGGAAATGAAGTTACTTTTGGCTGCTAGTCTGGTGCCTCAGTTTCCTTGTCTGTAGGATAAGTGAGTCAGACAAGATAGTATTCATGGACACTTCATGGATCTTCATGGTCCCTTCATGGCTCTAGAATTCTAATTACTTGGCATGATAAGTTTGCTTCCCCAAATCCAAAAGTATGGCTCTTGCCTCTTTTCAGCAATGCCAGGGTTCTGAGACCTAGGCTTCAGTGGATTATGGTGCTTAATCTGACAATTTCAGAAGGGAATTTCTGGAGAAAGTACATGCTATGGCAGGAGTTCTCAACCTGAGGCCCTCTGATATTATATGCAAAAATTGTCTGTTGGGTTATGTTCCACTTTAGGGGAAGAGAATCCCTGGCTTCTGTCAGCTTTCCAGAGAGGAGAGAGGACCTGCTGCTCCAGGGAATCTCTCAGAGGGACCTCAGGAGGAAAATATGGTGCTCACATTTTTCTTATCTGCCTGTCCCTTCTTCCGTTCCTTGTTTGCCATGATCACCCCAGTGCGCAGGGTTTCAAACACAGGATCATTGTGATTGGCAGCAGCTAGTGGGAATGGGAAGAAGAAAGAAGCCATTACTGTGGAAGCAGAGAAAGACCTGGAGGAAACAGAGACCTTCTAAATAAGGGAGAGGTGGGATGGAGTAGATGGATACGTGTGTGTAGAATTAGGGTAGGGTCAGCTGGGCATATCTAAGTCATCAATCTATAAAGAGCTCTAAAAACATCACTGGAAATGTCATGTGATGGAGAAAAATACTTACCAGCACTCCTTCTAGGCAGAGCACTTGTTGGAAAGACAGCTGTGCTACTAAGTTGTTTGGGAGTTGGGGAATGCTCACAGTCACTATTCTCCTTCTAAGGAGAGTGGTCCTTTAACTGTTGGCTTTTGTCCCATTGAGTGGCATGTGCAAGCTGGGGGCTGCCACCAGTGGGTTCTTCTTTTTCCCACCCATGCTCCTCATAAAGTTCAGCCTCTCCTCCAAATAAATGTTGAGTAAATTGTCAATGAATTTGTTTGTAAGGGGTACCGAATTATGAATCTTCCCAGGATGCCCACAGCTCTTGGTCTAGCCCTGAGACTGGTATTACTCTGTATCAAGGATGAGGACAGTCAAGAATCCTTGTTCTTGCTTAGAAATAGTTTTACATATGAAGAGCCCAGATTTTGAAGCGAGGCAGATGAAAGTTTCAGTCTTGGCTCTCTGTCTCTTGCTAGCTGTGTGGAGCCCTTACTAAATCTTATCTCCCTCAGCTATAAAACAGGAATATTGACTCTGTATTCAAGTTGGCTAAAATATTAGGTAGAGAGAAAACCATGGGAAACAGAATCTTTCTGTTTCAGAATTTGGTTTCCAAATCTAGAAGTGGTGCTGGAGCCATGTCTAGCTTGCCCTTGCCCTCGGGTCCCACATGGAGCACTTACAGAGATCTTTGACACAAGCGTACTGCTGGTTGCTGTAGAGTGGGGAGCTATAGGCCCGATGGAAACCAGGGGGCTGTAGGATGGGATGGGAGAAAGCATTAGAGACAGCAAGGTATGGCCCAGAACCCCATCTCTCCCATGAGTGCAATCCCTTCTTAGAGTAAGAAATTGGTTGAGAAGGAAAAAGCAGGGAAATGGATGTGATGACTTGGGAGGGACTGGAAGAGGGGAGCTTGGCTATGCGTTCTCTCCTTTCTACTTCCTCACTCCCCAGAGCCTACTCACGATCTTGCCGAAACATCTCTGCATCTCCACGTAGGACTGACAGTGCTCGTGGATGTTAGTTTTGCAGTTCTTACAGCGAAGCCCAAATTTGTTGTTGACTTGGGAGAGGGAAGAACATTTGGGTGAGGTTCTTGATCTCCCCTTCCCTTTGTAGCAGTGCTGCTATTCTAGCTCTCAGGTCTCTTTTCTTTCTAGGACCCAGCACTATCAGTTTCTAATAGTGTTGTTTTTATTTTTTTAAGATTATTTATTTATTTGAGAGAGAGTGAGTGCCCACAAGTGGGGGAGGAGCAGAGGGAGAAGGACAAGCTGACTCCCTGCTTAGCATGGTGCCCCATACGGGGCTCGGATTCAAGACTCTGAGATCAAGACCTGAGCTGAAATCAAGAGTTGGATGCTTAACCAACTGAGCCCCCCAGGCGCCCCTTCAATAGTGTTTTCTTTTTAAGATTTTATTTATTTATCTGAGAGCTAGAGATCACAGAGGGAGAGAGAGAGTGAGAAGCAGACTCCCTGCTGAGTAGAAAGCCCCTCTCCGGACTTGATTCTCCCAGACCCTGAGACCATGACCTGAGCCGAAGGCAGAACTTTAACCCACGGAGCCCCCAGGCGCCCCTCTGATAGTGTTTTCTTAAAGCCACCTCTTGCCACAGCCTGTCTGCCATACAAATGCTCCTCTCCTGAGCCTGTTCCCCCACCTCCTGCCTTCAACATCACGCTCTCTCCACTTCCCTTCGTGACTCACGCACAATCATCCGGGCACAGACATCACAGAACTTGGGCTTCTTGAAGAAATGATCTTTGAATTTGTGAGGCTTGTCATTGACAAGCTTAGGAGGTTCTGGGGGGGGGCTCCTCCTCCTCCTCTTCTTCTTCCTCTTCTTCCTCATAGATGTAGTAGATGGGCCCCCCACCAGCTCCCACTGCCTCCCCATTGGCCTGGGGCTCTGGGGGAAGCTCCATTTCCTTTGTTCCTGGAGACTCCTTCCTGAATAACTGCTTCAGCCGCTGTAGCTGAGGGAGGAAGAGGATGAGGGAGGGGAGGAAACCCAAAATTAAAAGAACTGTCATGCTCTCTAGAGCAGGAAAGGCTGAAGCTAACTAAACATTTTTCTAGTGTGGGCAAGGGGCACCCCCCAGGATTAGGAGTATTGGGGGCTGCAGGTGCTGGCTAGCATTCTGATGACGGAGGAGTCACATTCAAGTGAGATCAATTCAAGCATTCTTCAAGGGCTGTGGTGGCTTCCCAGCTCCCCAGCTCCCCACACCCGGGGGTCCCAGGCCCAGACTCACCCCACTTTGCCGAGTCTCTCCTGGCAAGGAGGGCTTAGGGGACTCCAGCACCTCCTTTTCTGTCATCCTGCAAGATGTTGGACCCCACTATTAAATCTAATCCCTGACTGCACTCTTCCTGTCCTAATTCCTGTCCCTCATTGCAGGGTGGTCCTTGAGTGGACTTTGGGAGAAATTCGGTTAAACAGAAATCCTTTCACAGGCTTATGGACAGAAAGATTCCATGGAGGTCCAGAGAAAAGTGCAACAGACTAAAGAACTTCCCAACTGGTTCCTCAAACTGATACCAAACCTTCCCCGCCCTGAGGAGCAACCTGAGTTTCCAGCCCCAATACAGCGCTCAAAGCTGCATGGTTTAGGGATTTGCCTAGTTTGTTTCTCCTGGGAATCTGTGGGCAAGGGAGAGGTGACATACACCCTTCCAGATTCCCTTTCTTGAAGAGGTTTAATGTGTGTGTCCAGAAGCATGCTTGGAGGGATGGGCTGGGGACATTTGTTCACCCCTACCCCTTTCTTGAGTCTCAGGGGCCCAGGGCCTAGTTCCCAGCCTGCTTCAGTCCTCGGCTATTTTAAGTTTTCAGAGTAATATGAGCCTTTCCTTCCCTTACTACTCCATTCCCTTGACCCCACCCCCACCCCACCCTCCAATCCTCGCTCTTGTCCTGGAGTCATACTTTCACTCCTAAAACCCTAACTACTCACAGGCCAAACTGAAGACACTTGAATAGGCTACAGATTGGGGAAGTTGCGGGGAGCAGTTCTGGCAATGGACAGAGGATGAAGAGGCAACTTACGTTTGGGATTCCCTAAGTCAGTCCACAGTCTGTGGAGGGAAGAGGGAGCCCCTGGGGTCTTGATGGTGGTGCTGGGGGAGGACTGGTCCTCTTCCTTGGGGGCTAAGCCCCCCCAATACCCTCTGTACTCACACCGGCTACCCAGACGTTATTTGTAGATCTCCCAGTCTCTCGCCTTGGTGTCAGAGCTGAAATGACAGGGCTGGAGGAAAGTGGACAGCTGAGTGACACAGCTGACACAGAGAAATTGGACACGGGGAGGTCTGGGCTGGGCTGGACCCTAACTCCTCCCATCCTCCAGAGCTGCTATGCCCTGGTTTTTTATCTATGGTGTACAGGTCAGTTCCGGCTAAATTCAAGAAGGGACAGTGTTTATGCCGCATACTCATTTAGGTGATTTTGGATGACAGAAGGTATAGATCAAATTGTACAGTGTTCCCCAAGGTCCAAACAGCTCTCCAATTCTACCTTCCCTGGACCTACTTTAGGAACTAGCTTTTGATTTTTCAGCCACTGTCTTCCCGTGGCCATGTGTTTTCATACCCACAAACACTGATCTAACTCTACTTCAAACCTTTAGGAAGCAAAGGGCCAGGAACTGGTGAAGAAAGGAGAATTTCAATTCTCCGAGGTTTCCTATCAGCCAGACTAGATTGCATCCTTATCCATGGGTAGCTGGAAGGGTATCTTGCTGCCATCCTGAAAGGGAGTGAAGAACATGCATAGCACTGCTTTATTCTCTCCAGTGTGCCCAGGAACATCCTCCCATCCCCCATTCTAAAATCTTGTCCTCAGGGTGAAGAGAAATCTAAGAGCTACTGAAAAAACTCCAGGCTGGGATTTCTGAGAGGCTCTGGGGGAGTGCAGTGATGGTTAGGTAGAGATGGTATCATTCCCATTGGACGGAAGGCAGTTACCACACAGAGGGGTTTTTTCTTCTCTAAGTAATGTCTGCTTCCCCGTGAGGACTGAAAACTTTTGAGGTAAGACAGCTATGCCCCACACTTCTGTAATCATTCTGATTCCCTGACTCCGTCTCCCTCATCTGATGCCCCGGTATATTAACTTATGGGTCAGTGAGGTATCTGGCATTCTTATCTCGCAGGGATGCAGCCTTCTACTCTGGGCTGTGACATGGCTGAAAGAGAAGATACTCCCATCTCAGAGGACAGCCATTTGGATGTAGTCATGTAGTGCTGCTTTATCCCTTGTATCTGTAAGAAGTAAAGGATTACGTTGGAGGTTGGGTCAGACAAGCCTCAGAGGAGCCTGGCTAGAGATACTGCTACCCAGACCCAAGAGATTTCCAGGGTAATGTGCTTTGTCATTTCTGTCACTGCTCTTTTTCCTTAAGGGGTGGGTGAGATTGAATAGGGGTTGCTGGATGGCTCCTAATGGCTCCGGTCTGACAGGCTGTGCAACAAGAGGGCAGAGAGAGGAAAAGCTCGATCCATGCAGAGTGGGGAATGTCTGCTTTTCACCTTTCTTCAGTTGCACAGGACAGGGACTGCTGAGCGTGCCTGGATAATACGGCATCTTGGCACTGCAAGTTCAATTGATGGAGCTTTTATCCTAAGAAACATCTACTTCTGTCCTGCCATGCAGAACACAATGGCTTTCGTTTTAAAGAAAGGCCCAAGGGGCGCCTGGGTGGCTCAGTGGGTTAAAGCCTCTGCCTTCGGCTCAGGTCATGATCCCAGGGTCCTGGGATCGAGCCCCGCATCGGGCTCTCTGCTCCTTGGGGAGCCTGCTTCCTCTTCTCTGCCTGCTTCTCTGACTACTTGTGATCTCTGTCTGTCAAATAAATAAAATCTTAAAAAAAAAAAAAAAAAATAAAGAAAGGCCCAAGTCCTCCAGCCCTGAAGAGTTTCCAAAAGATCAGATTCTGGACATGTATGAGGCCACCATCTCAACCCAGTTTTGGACCTCACTCACCCCTCCCCAGACAGCCATGAGGACCCTACATGAGTATCACAGAATTAACATAGTGAAGGAACCTCAGAGGTAAGCTAATTAGTCCAAGTCTCTTATTTTACTAATAAGGACTCAGAGGTCTGGAGTTGAGAACTGATGTGCTTGATGAAACCACACTTATTGAAAGAGTGGGGGAAGCCCAGAACAAAGGTCCCACTGGAGACCCAGCCATCTCTCCAAATATTATGGGCAAGGAGGAGAATGGGATGAGGGAATACTGTTAGGAAGGTATGTGTGCATAGGCCAGCTAGGGAAAGCCATCCCAACCTATATGGGATCCCTCTAATAGCTGTGGGACTGTACCTACCCAGGACCTCCAACCCCCACCCACACCAGGGCAGCAACAGAGAAACAGGGACTGACATCCAGTGACAGATTTTTTTTTTTTTATATTTAAAAACAAAATCAACCTCCCCCCAAGTAACCCCCCAAACAAACAAAAAATCAGATTAAATAAAATTTACAGTGAATATACCCAGCAAACATCTGTATGTGCAATTAAATACTGTCTGTTACTGTGGCACAAACCTCAAACAAACAATATACAAGTGTTCTGGGAGGTGGGGGGAGGCCCAAGTTTTAACTCTTTGGGGTTTGGGGAGACAAGATGGGGGAAGTGAGAGGAAGGGGAAATCAATTTTGCTTTTCTTAATTCTGTCCATATAAATATATTCATAAAGACCAGAAATGAAAAGGGAGCTTGGGATGGTAAGGAGATCGAATAGGGGAGTGTGGGACCCTCCCAAATCTACCTGACCAAAAAAATATGAAAAAAATTAATTTCATGGTGGGAGAAGAGATTAAAAAATGGCAGAAGAGGATGGGAAGGAGAGGGAAACAATGGGGGGGCCAACCAGGGAAAAAGAGGGGACCCATGGCAGGTGAGCGAGAAGGAGTCCAATGCCAGTGTGTCTGTTCCATCTTCATCCCCACTGTCTTAGGCTCCAGTTCAGTGTCTGTCACCTTCCTTTCTGCCTCTGTCCGTGGTCTGTCAGGATCCCTCGGCCCCCTCCCCCATCCCCCCACTGCGCTGGTGCCTTCCCCTCCTCCGTTTATTGGGAGCTGGCTCGCTCCAGGATCCTCAGGTCATAGTTCTTTTTGGCCACTCGAAGTTTGAAGCGACTCACAGAGTTGTTGAGGCGAAGGGAGGCATTCTGGGCAGCCAGGGGGCTGGGAAACACAGCCACGATGGTGTACAAGGCAGCGAGGTCTGCATGGCGGCCGTTCTCAGCAGTCCCACCGTTGTCCCCCCCACCCCCGCCAGGCAGCCCCTGAGCATCCTTGAGCCACTGGATCTTGGCGCCAGACATGGCAAGCTGAGTGAAGAGTTTGTCCGCTTCGGTCCGAGTGATGCCCTCAGGGAGATCTGTCACCTCCAGCACCCGGCCCAGGACTGAAAGGGGAGGAGAAAGAACATGGTTATCAGAGGACTAGTGAGGTCCCTGCAGAGAATTCTGTAGCCGAATCAAGTCTATTGACAGCGTCCTCAAGAGCCTGGCCTCACCCATCTTCCCCAAATCAGTGTAATACCTCACCATCTAGGCATCTAGGAGAAACAAAGAAAACTTTTCTTCTCTTAGACTAAGAAGAAACTGGGGATCAGAATCCCAGATTTCTTCAGGTCTGGAGACCTACACATCATTTCTTGTGCCAAGTCAGTAGCCCAATCTGAAATATATCCCACAGACATCTCCTTCCCAGAGATCCCTCTTCCTTATCATCTAGGGAAGTCCATTTCCCTGCCTTTCCTTGTTCAGCAAACCCCTCCAAATAGGGGTAACCTGAGAAATCTTGTATGCCTAGTGGGGAAGGCCTGCAGGGGTTTACTCCCCCACATTCTCTTGTCGAGCTTCTGCTAAAGGAATAGGAGAACTACCAAGGCAGACATCCTAGACTGGGGTCAGGACCACTCCCACAAGACTCTCCTGTTAATAGGCTCAGCACCCCCAGCCATTGTATTATATTCAGTTTTTACCATCACCTTTCCCAAGACCTGAAATGGCCTGATAAGTACTGAGACACTTTAATTCTCCAGTTTCTCCTTGCTCTTGAGTACAAAAGGGTCCTATTTCTACTCCACACCCTAAACTGGCTTTTCTCACTCATCCTAGGCTAGTAATGCAAGCTGGAGGGATGAGCACCTTCACTTGCGGATTCAGCATTTTGTCACTCACCGACATCTGTTGTCCCCAGGTCAGTGGAGGCAGATTTAAGTGCTTGTCTTTTGCTCCGGTTTCCATGCTTTAATCCACTCTGTCCCTTCAACATTTCAAAGATAACTCTTACCCCAGGTAAACAACATTGACTGCCTTGCATCCTAATGTCTGTCTGAAAGATTAAGGGGCAGCACCCAACCCTGAGGATCTTGCCCAACCAGGCAGGCAGACTGGCCAGAGTGGCCACTGAGAAACAGAGTCCTTCCCCCTTGGCACTGGGGTCAGGTGGGAAGAATGAGTATGGGAGAGGGGTAAGTTCCCTCCCACTTTATTCATTCTCAATGTGCTATCTATCGCCTGGGTCCATGCCACTGATTGAGGTGGACGGCTCAGAGATAGGGGCCTGGATGAGAAGAGGGGTTTGATGGTGGACACCCTTACCTGGTGTACCGTGTAAGCTGACTGGCCATGGAGCAAGGGAGGGCAGATAGACAGATTGTACTGCAATGGCTGGCCCAAGAGGGAGTAGCGTCCATCACCTAGGGAGGAAGGACAGATGGTTTTCTGGGAGTTAGAACTTCATGATACAACTTTCATGAGACTTCAGGGGGCTTTGGAGATAGAGGACAACAATGCATACTCTTCCTACTTTTTCTATGATAGGAGTGCCCAGGGGACTGACTGAAGAGTTGTCTCTCTTCCTAAACCCCACGGCTGTCAGCTGTATCTCACGCAAATGAGGCTTTTAAGTTCCCTCACCCTTGAAGAAGGGCTCTGTCCACTGTAGACGAAAGACCCTGGGGGAAACCTACAGACCCTTATGAATGTCTTTCCTTCTTTCCTTCCTTTCTTCCTCCCTCCTCCCTCTCCCTTTTTTAAAAAAAGTAATCTCTATGCCCAACGTGGAGCTTGAGCTCACAACCCTGAGATCAAGAGTCATATGCTCTACCGCCTGAGCCAGCCCGGTGCCCCAAATTTCTTATATAGATCCTCCTACCCCAAATCCAGGGCTCAAGTGTCTGACTCCTGTTGAGTGGCAATACAGTGAGTGGATAAGAACACAGGCTTGGAGCCAAACCGCCTAGGTTCAAATCCTGGCTCTGTTACCGGAAATGAGAGCTTGGGTACCTTTTCTATTCATCAGTGTTGAAGGCTGAGTGAATACAAGACACGCAAAGCACTTACAGTCATGCTTTGTACATAGTAAGCACCATAAATGTTACTTTATTGTTGATAAATGCTAGATTTCAGAGCACTCTGAAGTTTTTAAACCACATTCTCATCTGGTTTTCACTACTGCTGCAACAGCCAAGACAGGAACAGATAAAATTATTTCCATCTTATTTGGATCAATCCCATTTTACAGATTAGGAAACTGAGGTCTGGTTCCAAGCTTAAGTAACACACTACCACCTGGGTCTTCCCACTTGGGAATGGGCTGTGAAGGGCAGCAGCCAGCCCTATTCTAACCCCTTACCCTGTGCTGGACCCCCAGGCCGGGGGAACTGTGTGAGGACAGGAAGGGGACTGAGTCCTGTGCAGACATTGCTGAGACTGGTGACAGGAGAGGGTGCTGGAGACTGGGTAGGAGATGTGACGGGGCTGCTGCTCATTTGAGTGCTGGCCTGTGGGACAGAGAGGCACACATATCATACATACAGCAAATATGACCCTCTGGACATTCCTACGGCTTGGCTTAAAATTCATCTCACTCAGAAAACTTCTCTTGCAGAGCTTTGTCAAAGTCAAACTGCTCCTTCCAACAGCCCCCACAGTCCCTAATTAATGTGTATTAATAATTAATGTATTTTGTTAAAATATTTATTTATTTTAGAGAGAGAGGGAGAGTGAGTGAGTGTGGAGTGGGGAGGAGCAGAGGGAGGAGGAGAGGGAGAGAAGTACAGAATCTCAAGTAGACTCCCTGCTGAACTCAGAGCCCCACGATCCTGAGATCATGACCTGAGCCAAAATCAAGAGTCGGATATTTAATGGACTGAGTCACGCTGGAGCCCCGATCTGTATTATTTTAATATCCATTTTTTGACACAGTGTTTTAAGTATGTGTCCCTTAGAGCTTAGGTTCCTTGCAAGCAGATGCTCTCCTCTATTTCTTATGATTCCCCCTGAAGAGTACCCAGGGAAACGCAAGCAGAAGAGGCTGCTCACTCAATGGCAAAGATTATTCTCCGAGAAGAATCTGGTCTCCTCCTTGCCAAGACAATGCTGGGCTGCAGGACTCACCTGGGGGTTACTCTCAGGATTGTATAGGTCTCCAGGTTTCTGCCCACGCTGGTCCATGCTGTAATATTTACAGTGACTCCACTGGACCATGGATGGGTTCTGGGGAGGCTGGGGTCCATTAGGGACATTCAGCTGCATGACCACCACGCCTGGTCCAGAAGGTGACACTCCTGAGTCGCAGGAAGA